TGTTCCATATCTTAGGAGAGGTTTTGGAATATTTGCACAAAAATCATGAGATATCTTGGAGATAGGACCCAAGTCTAATCATGAAATTCATTTATGCTGATGTCAACACAAACTTTGTTGTATGCACAGGAATATTAAAAAGTACTGTGAATAAAATGACCTTCACATTTTGTGTATGAACAATTTTGGCTCTGGGAGCCTTTTGGGTTCCTAGAGTCTACGTGTATAAGGTGTGTATGAAACAAAAATTAACTTATAATTAGACTTGGGTCCCATCTCCAAGACAGCTCATGGTGTATGTGCAAATATTTCAAAACCCCAATAAATACAAACATATACATCATGAGATACTTTGAACATTATTGTGAATAAAATGATCTTCAGGGTATGTGTATAAGCTGCATATGAAATATAATTGAATTTTGTGATGAGGCTTGAGTCCCATCTCCAAGACATCTCACAATGGGCATGAATGCAACAAAATCTGTGTAACCATCAGAAAGCAAAGGTGAACAGTTTTGGATTTGAGAATATTGTGGAAAAATACAAAACACTTCTGGTCCCAAGCATTTCAGACAAGCGTTATTCAACCTGTATCTTGGAGATGGGACCAAAGTCTAATCACAAAATTCATTTACATTCAGTAGTTCTCAACCTGTGGGTCCTCGGGTGTTTTGGCCCAAACTCCCAGAAATCCTAGCCAGTTTACCAGCTGTTAGGATTTCTGAGAGTTGAAAGCCAAAACATCTGGGGACCCACAGGTTGAGAACCACTGCATTACTTTACACCCATAGCCTGAAAATCATTGCATAAACAATAATTGTAAATACGTTCATGAAACAAAGTTTGTGTACATTAAACCATCACAAAGAAAACACTGTCACTATCTCAGGATGGACAACTTTGGAGCATTTGGAATTCCCAACTCTATGATTCCCATCTAGAATCATAGAGTTGGAAGATACCTCAAACGCATCCAGTCCAACCTCATGTTACTATGCAGCAGCATGCAATCAAAGCACTCCCGACAGATGATTATCTAGACTCTGCTTTTAAAATTCCAGAGGCGGGGACTCCACCATGTTCTCCTCAGTTGAACAGCTCTTTCCTCTGAAAGTTCTCCTTATTGTTTAGGTAAAGTTAAAGGTTTTTCCCTGACATTAAGTCCAGTCGTGTCCAACTCTGGGGGTTGGGGCTCATCTCCATTTCTAAGCTGAAGAGCCAGCATTGTCCGTGGACACCTCCAAGATCCTGTGGCCAGAATGTCTTCATGGAGCACTGTTACCTTCCCGCCGGAGCGGTACCTATTGATCTACTCACTTTTGCATGTTTTCGAACTGCTAGGTTGGCAGAAGCTGGGGCTAACAACAGGAGTTCACGTCACTCCCCGGATTCTATTGTTTAGATAGAATCTTTTTTCCCCTGCAATTTGAATCCATTCCTCCCTGTCCTAGACTCCATAGCAGCAGAAAGCAAGATAGCCCCCTCCTCAGTGTGACATCCTTTCAAATATTAAAACATGGCTATTATGTCCCCTCTCAGCCTTCTCTTCTTCAAGCTAACACACCCAGCTCCATAAGATGCTCCTCATAAGACTGGGCTTCCAGACATTTTATCATTTTGATCATTTTTCTCTGGACATGTTCCAGCTTGAATTGTGGTGCCCAGAACTGTACTCCAGGTGAGGCCTAACCAAAGTAGAACAGAATGGGATTATTCATTCCTTCACCTGCAGCCTCAACCCTAAGTATCCTGAATCAAGCAACTCACTCACTCTAATAAAAAGACTGATCTTAGTCCAACCCCATTCTGCCATGCAAGAACACAGAATCAAACCATTCCCGACAGATGGCCATCCAACCTCTACTTAAAAACCTCCAAAGAGGGGACATCACCATACTCTGAGGCAGCAGCATATTCCACTGCTGAAATGCTCTTACTGTCAGGCTGGCATCCTCAGAGGTTGTGAGGTCTACAGTGTAGACCAGGCATGGGCAAACTTGGCCCCTTCAGATGTTTTGGACTCCAACTCCCACAATTCCTAACAGACTCAGACCTCACAACCTCTGAGGATTCCTGCAGGTGAAATGTCAGGAGAGAATGCTTCTGGAACATGGCCATGCAGCCCAGAAAACTCACAACAACCCAGTGATTCCAGCCATGAAAGCCGTTGACAACACTATTCAATGCTGATCAAGCATCTGGTAGCCAATTGCAACATCCACACTTGCCTCAAGCAGACAAGAGTTCTTTCTCCCACTCTGGACAGTCCACAGATATATACACTCCACTTGCCTCATTTCCATCAGACCTCTAAACAAACCTTTGAGGGTGAGTGCCATAGATGCAGGCAAAACGTCAGAAGAGAATGCTATTGGTACATGACCAGACAGCCCGGAAAACTCACAGCAACCCAGTGATCCCGGCCATGAAAGCCTTTGACAACACAATCCCAACAAAGAATTCCCCCAGGCAGGAAGCAGCCAAGCTTTGAAGCTGCAAGACCATTCAATGCTAATCAAGATGATCAGTTACAACATTGACACTTGCCTCAAGCAGACAAGAGTTCTTTCTCCCACCTCAGGCAGTCCACAGATATATAAACCTCACTTGTCTAGTTTCCAACAGACCTCACAAACTCTGAGGATGCCTGCCACAGATGTAGGTGAAATGTCAGGAGAGAATACTTCTGGAACATGGCCATGCAGCCTGGAAAACTCACAAGATTCGGTCATGAAAGCCTTCAACAATACTATTCAATGCTAATCATGCATCCGTAATATTCAATGCCAATTGCAACATTCACACTTGCCTCAAGCAGACAAGAGTTCTTCCTCCCACCCTGGACAGTCCATAGATAGATAGATTATAGATAAATACATACACCACTTGCCTCATTTCCAAAAGACCTCTGAACAAACCTTTGAGGATGTCTGCCATAGATGCGGGCGAAACATCAGGAGAGAATGCTACTGAAATGTGGCCAGACAGCCTGGAAAACTCACAGCAACCTAGTGATCCCGGCCATGAAAGCCTTTGACAACACAATCCCAACAAAGGATTTCCCCAAGCAGGAAGCAACCAAGTTTTGAAGCTGCAAGGCCATCCAATGCTAACCAAGGTGATCAGCTGCAACATTCACACTTGCCCGAAGCAGACAAAGAGTTCTTTCTCCCACCCTGGGCAGTCCACAGATATGTATACACTCCACTTGCCTCATTTCCAACAGACCTCTGAACAAACCTTTGAGGATGCCTACCATAGATGTGGGTGAAATGTCTGGAGAGAATGCTTTGGGAATGTGGCCAGACAGCATAAAAAACTCACAACAACACAGTGATTCCGGCCATGAAAGCCTTCGACAATACAATTCCAACAGATATAGACTACACTCCACTCCAGGCAGGAAGTAATCAAGCTTTGAAGCTGCAAGGCCATCTAATGCTAACCAAGGTGATCAGCGGCAACATTCACACTTGCCCCAAGCAGACAAAGAGTTCTTTCTTCCACACTGCACAGTCCACAGATATATAAACCTCACTTGTCTAGTTTCCAACAGACCTCACAAACTCTGAGAATGCCATCACTTGCCTCATTTCCAACAGAGCTCTGAAGAAATCTTTTACGATGCCTGCCACAGATGTGGGTGAAACATCAGGAGAGAATGCTTCTGGAACATGGCCATGCACCCTGGAAAACTCACAAGATTCAGTCATGAAAGCCTTCAACAGTACTATTCAACGCTAATCATGCATCCGGTGGCCAATTGCAAAATTCACACTTGCCTCAAGCAGACAAGAGATCTTTCTCCCACCTTGGACAGTCCATAGATAGATATATTATAGATAGATACACATTCCACTTGCCTCATTTCCAACAGACTTCTGAACAAACATTTGAGGATGTTTGCCATAGATGTGGGCAAAACATCAGAAGATAATGCTACTGAAGCATAGCCAGACAGCCCGGAAAACTCACAGCAACCCAATAAATCGCGTGATACACACTCCACTTGCCTCATTTCCAACAGACCTCCGAACAAACCTTTGAGGATGCCTGCCGTAGATGTGGGCAAAATGTCAGGAGAAAATACTACTGGAGCATAGCCAGACAACCCAAAAAACTCACAGCAACCCAATTAAGTGCCTGATACACCCTCCACTTGCCTCATTTCCAAGAGACTTCTGAACAAACATTTGAGGATGACTGCCATAGATGTGGGTGAAACATCAGGAGAGAATGCTACAGAAACATAGCCAGACAGCCCAGAAAACTCACAGAAACCCAATAAATCGCTCGATACACAATCCACTTGCATCATTTCCAACAGACCTCCGAACAAACCTTTGAGGATGCCTGCAATAGATGTGGGCAAAATGATAGAAGAGAATGCTACTGGAGCATAGGCAGCCGGAAAACTCACAACAACCCAGTGATCCCGGCCATTAAAGCCTTCGACAACACAATCCCAACAAAGTATTCCCCCAGTCAGGAAGAAGCCAAGCTTTGAAGCTGCAAGGCCATCCAATGCTAACTAAGGTGATGAGTTAAAACATTCACACTTGCCTCAAGCAGACAAGAGTTCTTTCTCAAACCCTGGGCAGTCCACAGAGATACAAACCTCACTTGCCTAGTTTCCAATATACACTCCACTTGGCTCATTTCCAACAGACCTCTGAACAAACCTTTGGGGATGCCTACCATAGATGTGGGCGAAACGTCAGGAGAGAATGCTACTGCAGTCCACAGAGATACAAACCTCACTTGCCTAGTTTCCAATATACACTCCACTTGCCTCATTTCCAACAGACCTCTGAACAAACCCTTTGAGGATGACTGCCATAGATTTAGGCGAAACGTCAGGAGAGAATGCTACAGAAACGTGGCCAGACAGCCCTCCGCTTGCAGCCCCAACCTTGAAGTCCCACTCTACCTCACTTTCTGAAGGCGACCAGAACTAAAACGAAAAAGTACACGCGTGACAGGGTTCAAACCCGCACCTCCTCGTCCTGCTCCTCCAGCGAGGCTCCTCCGCCGCCTTCCTCGCCCCTTCCGCCTTCCTTTGGCGGCTTCCCTCGCTCCCCAAACGCCGCCAGAGTCCTCCTCTCCTTCCCTTCTTCGCCTGCTTGCAGTTCCTTCCCCGGCCGCTGGGGGCCGCTGCGCCAAAGGGGGAACGGAGGCAGCGGAGCCGCGGCGCCTGCTGGAGTTGCCCGCTGCCCGCCGCCGCCGCCTTCCTCGGAAAGAGTTTGTGAGTCCGAGGAGCCGGAGCTGGAGCTGGAGGAGGAAGAAGAGGAAGAGGACGCGCAGGCAGAGGAGCCCCTCCGCCCGCCGAGGCGCCTCTGCTGCCCCTCGCTCGAAACTTTCTCGCCCATGGCTTCAGAAGCAGCTGCGGAGACAAGCCTTGGGCGGGTCAGGGAGGGAAAGTCAGCCGCCCGTCTCCACAGGCAACGGCGGCAGCATCCTTCCTCTCTCTCTCTCTCTCTCTCTCTCCGTCTCTCTCTCTCTCTCTCTCAGCGCTACAGCCAGGCACCGCCTCTCTCACACACACAAGCCTCTCCTCCAGGAGACACTGCCTCGCGCCAACCTGCCTCGGGGGCGGGGAAGACGGGCAGCCCGAGCAGCCAATGGCAGCGCGCGAGAGGCGGCGGTGGGAGGGGCCCCCGGCGAGGGAGGAAGGGTTCCACAGAGAGAGCCGCAGGTAGCAGGCACAGGCAGGTGTGGAATCAATAGGAGGCAGAGGGGGAACCCTGAAGGCCATCCAGTGCAACCCGCTTGGAAGAGAGGCAAAGCATTTGGCTTCCCAATCACACATTCTGGTCAGCTAAGGAAGTGCAGAGTGACTTAACAGTCCAAGGGTGCGTCTACACCAGGCATGGGCAATTTTGAGCCCTCCAGGTGTTTTGGACTCCAACTCCCACCATTCCTAACAGCCTCAGGCCCCTTCCTTTGCCGGCTGAGGGGGCAAAGGAAGGGACCTGAGGCTGTTAGGAATGGTGGGAGTTGGAGCCCAAAACACCTGGAGGGCCCAAGTTTGCCCATACTTGATATAGAATGGTGAGATATAAAAGGAAAGGGCCTGAGGCTGTTAGGAATGGGGGGAGTTGGAGTCCAAAACACCTGAAAGGCCCCTGACTTGGTGTAGAAAGGCAAGATATAAACGGAAAGGGCCTGAGGCATTTGGGAATGGTGGGAGTTGGAGCTCAAAACACCTGGAGGGCCCAAGTTTGCCCATACTTGGTGTAGAAAGGCACAATATAAAAAGAAAAGGCCAGAGGCTGTTAGGAATGGTGGGAGTTGGAGTCCAAAACACCTGAAAGGCCCAAGTTTTCCCATGCTTGGTGTAGAAAAGCGAGACATAAAAGGAAAGGGCCTGAGGCTGTTGGGAATGGTGGGAGTTGGAGTCCAAAACACCTGGAGGGCCCCATGCTTGGTGTAGAAAGGCGAGACATAAAAGGAAAGGGCCTGAGGCTGTTGGGAATGGTGGGAGTTGGAGTCCAAAACACCTGGAGGGCCCCATGCTTGGTGTAGAAAGGCGAGACATAAAAGGAAAGGGCCTGAGGCTGTTGGGAATGGTGGGAGTTGGAGTCCAAAACACCTGGAGGGCCCCATGCTTGGTGTAGAAAGGCGAGACATAAAAGGAAAGGGCCTGAGGCTGTTGGGAATGGTGGGAGTTGGAGTCCAAAACACCTGGAGGGCCCCATGCTTGGTGTAGAAAGGCGAGACATAAAAGGAAAGGGCCTGAGGCTGTTGGGAATGGTGGGAGTTGGAGTCCAAAACACCTGGAGGGCCCCATGCTTGGTGTAGAAAGGCGAGACATAAAAGGAAAGGGCCTGAGGCTGTTGGGAATGGTGGGAGTTGGAGTCCAAAACACCTGGAGGGCCCCATGCTTGGTGTAGAAAGGCGAGACATAAAAGGAAAGGGCCTGAGGCTGTTGGGAATGGTGGGAGTTGGAGTCCAAAACACCTGGAGGGCCCAAGTTTGCCCATACTTGGTGTAGAAAGGCAAGATATAAAAGGAAAGGGCCTGAGACTGTTAGGAATGGTGGGAGTTGGAGTCCAAAACACCTGGAGGGCCCCTGGCTTGGTGTAGAAAATTCGATATCAAAGGAAAGGGGCCTGAGGCTGTTACGAATGGTGGGAGTTGGAGTCCAAAACACCTGGAGGGCCCAAGTTTGCCCATGCTTGGTGTAGAATGGCAAAATATAAAAGGAAAAGGCCAGAGGCAGGCATGTACTGGGGGCGGGGGGGGGGGGCTTGGGGGGCTTTCCCCCCCAAATTCCCAGGGTGGTCTGTGAGAAGGCCTTACTGGTACATTATTTAAACTGTTACGTTTATTCATATCATGATCTGATCACCATGCTCAATATATCCCATATCCATGGGGGTATTGGGATAACGATACAAAAGGTTTGCTAGGGTAGATCCTCAGTCCTCACCCCCCCCCCCCTCCCGAATCAAAATCCTGGCTACGGGCCTGGCCAGAGGCTGTTGGGAATGATGGGAGTTGGAGTCCAAAACACCTGGAGGGCCCCTGGGTTGTTGTAGAAAGACGCGGTATAAAAGGAAAGGGCCTGAGGCTTTTAGGAATGGTGGGAGTTGGAGTCCAAAACATCTGAAAGGCCCAAGTTTACCCATCCTTGGTATAGAAAGGTGAGATATAAAAGGAAGGAGCCTGAGTCTGTTGGGAATGGTGGAAATTGGAAACCAAAACACCTGGAGGGCCCAAGTTTGCCCAGGCCTGATTTTCAGTGATTCCCAACCTTTGGTCCTCTAGGTATTTTGGATTTCAGCTCCCACAATTCCTAACAGCTGGTAAGATGGCTAGGATTTCTGGAAATTGAAGTCCAAAACAACTGGAATAACAAAGGTTGGGAACCACTGGTTCTAGTTTGATGCCACACAATGCTATAGGATCCTGGGGTTTGTAGTCTGGAGAGGCAGCAGCACTCCTTGCAGTCCAAAACACCTGGAAGGCCCAAGTTGGCCCATGCCAGGTCTACACTGTAGAATTAATGTAGTTGAGTAAATAGAACAAATAAATACATATGTATAGCCAATGAATTTAAGCTTAAGTTTAAGATCACCTGGGAAGTTTAAGATCATCTGGGAAGGCCCGGCTCTCGGTCCCACCTCCCTTGCAGGTATGATTGGCAGAGAGAAGAGACAGGGCCTTCTCGGTGTCCCCTCGGCTGTGGAACTCCCTCCACAGGGATATTAGATAAACCCCCTCCCTCCTGACTTTCTGCAAGAGAGTGAAAACATGGCTTTGAGAACTTGTGCAATAGAAAGACCCGGATTATGCTCATAGATTACGTGTTTGACTCTGAATGTATTATTTTTAAATGTTTAAATTGTTTTTAATGTACTTTTAAATTCTATTTTAATATTTATTCAAATGTACATTGTGTTTTAAGGCATCAAATTATCGTCTATATGTAAAGCCGTCTTGAGTCCCCTCAGGGGTGAGAAAGATGGGGTAGAAATGTTGTAAATAAATAATTGCTGTTAAAGCTGTCAATCCTCAGGCATCTGTAGGCAAAATGTACTTATGACGGTTATCTGGAAACTTACATGGATTGTAGCATAAATATTACATTATTATTCCACATAATCACCATTCAGTTCAATACATTTTGTCATCGGTGGGGCGAGTTTTAGATGCCTGTGTCATAGAAGTTTCTCTCTGCCTTTTTCAGCCAGTTCGTCACTTTGATTTTCACCTCGTCATTGGACAACCCCTGTGCCAGCAGGACTGAAGACCGATAGATCGCAGGTTCGAATCCGGGGAGAGGCGGATGAGCTCCCTCGATCAACTCCAGCTCCTCATATGGGAACATGAGAAGAAGCCTCCCACAAGGATGATAAAAACATCAAATCATCCGGGCGTCCCTGGGGCAAAGTCCTTGCACACGGCCAATTCTCTCACACCAGAAGCGACTTGCAGTTTCTCAAGTCGCTCCTGACACGACAAAAAAAATTGGACAAGTGATTTCCACCAAGGTCTTCCATCAATTTAGTGAACAAATGATAGTCACTGATTGCAAGATTGGGCTGTGAGAGGGATGGTTTAAAACATACCAACAAAATGAGATTAACAACTTTTGTGTTGCATGAGCGGTGTGCAGATGCACATTGTCATGAAGGAGACAGACTCCCGTTGTCAGCATCTCACAATGTTTGTTTTGGGTGGCTCTGCGAAGTTTCCTCATGGTCTCACATTATATTCTGTACCTATTTTGTCACATGCTGTCTTGACATTATGTCCTCTCCATAAACTGAAATGATTTTGGATGAATCGCAGCGGTGTTCATGCCCTTAGCATTTAGGTAGCGTATTACAGTGCAAACTTTGCATTTGGAGGGAAACAGAATGAGGACGCTCATCTCTAACCTTCACCACAATGCCAGTTGATAAGCTACTGATGACTGGCACTGCTCATTCGCTTCCACTGGCTTCCTGCAACACAGCAGTGACACCAACTTCCCCCGTGAAAATTCCCACTGAGAGCTATGTACATTGTAACCTTATTTTCCAGATAACCCTCGTACATTGGACTCACAGCTTTTAGTCTTAACTGTGCTGACTTTGAATGGAAATCATGCTGTTGGGTTTATTTCCAGAGTAAGCATGATTGAATGAGACTGGCTCCCCAAATGCGTTTGTTTGTGTAAGGAAGCACTGCTTTCAAAACTTCATTTTGAAGGGGAAAGAGAAGAAATGAACCGCTCTGCACTTGCTCCCAGGATTCTGGAGGCCACAAGCGCTCAGTCCCTATTTAGATCTCCATTCAGCTGTGAAACTGCTTTGGTGGCCTCAGATGTCACTCTTGGCAGCTTAGCCACCCTTGGCTGGTTGAAGGGGCAAGGGCAAAATGCTGCTTTGAACTCCTTGGTGAAAATGTGGCATTAGGAGTTGAAAAACCCATAAAATCCTGTGGCTAACAGGCTATTTTTAAAATTCCACAGTGTCTTGTAGTCTTTGGCAGGAAGCATTAAGGAGAAAGATGTTGATCCAGTTGCCCAACAAGAAAGTTGTTGATCCCTTTCCAGTAATATATTCCTGAGACAGAAAATGTAAAAGGAATGGTGTTTATGAAAGAGAGAAGGGAATTGTGTTGACCTCAAAGTGTTGTTAGACTTTAACTCTCAGCATGCCTCATAAATGTCTGTGCTGACTACGGCTGCTGGGACTTGTAGTCAAAAACTATCTTGAGGACCATATTATTCTCGCTGTTACTTTAAAACAGGCATGGGCAAACTTGGATCCACCAAGTGTTTTTGGACTTCAACTCCCACAATTCCTAACAGTCTACCTCAGGACCCTTCCTTTTCCTTCTCCTCCCCCCTCAGCCAGGAAGGGACCTGAGATTGTTAGGAATGGTGGGAGTTGAAGTCCAAAACATCTGAAGGATTTATTTATTTATTTATTTACCACATTTGTATACCGCCTTTCTCAGTCTGTAGGTGACTCAAGGCGGTTCACAGTCA